GTCGACCCAAGTGGCTATTATGGGGAAGAGCAAACAAAAGATCAAACAATTGTAGAATCATTCACATTCTTCTTTGGTTCTATCGGTGAAGTCCCGAAGATAGAAAAATAAGGAAAGAAATCAAGTGGATAATTTTTTTAAAAAATAAAGTTAAAATAAAACCAAAACCGCGACGTTTCGATCACAACAGAAGCGATCCTCTTCGGGAGGAAGGAGGAAAAGTTCAAGTCAAGATTGTATAATAAATACAATAAAATGTTCGATATTTAAGTACGATTAATTATTATCAATAAACACATTTTATATGTATTATATAATATATGCATTATGTAATAGATTGTATAATATATTTATTATATACCATATGTAGTATATACCATATGCATTATATAATAATATGTATTTAGATATATTAATGCATGTATTATATTATCATAAAATTATATATACCACGTATACAATGTTTATAACACATATCATATGTAATACATATAACAAAAAATGTTTTTAAATATATCTGGATGATGTATTCAAAATAAATATACACATTTAATTTAATATAATTTACGTAATATAATTTTTATATATTATATTTTTTAAATGTTTTACGTATTATATATTTTACATATTATATAATGTATTTAATTTTATATATTTTGCGTGTTATATAATATATTTTAATGTTTTACGTATTATATATTTTACATATTATAGAATGTATTTAATTGTCATTTTATATATTTTACGTGTTATATAATATATTTAATTCTTGGCAAGATTACTCAGTGGAGGCCACGTTGTCGAAAAGGGGCGGCGAGATTGGGGGGGGGGGGGTCATCAAACGTCACCGTGACGTCTCCCTCCCCCCGCCCCGCCCCCTCCCTCACCCCCCTCCCTCCGCCCCCACGTGCACGCTCTCACGTTGACAGCCTAAAGCGCTCCTCCACGCAAAAACCGCGGACAAAATAAGGCCTTGGGTAGACGTGGCATTAATGGTAGACGTGGCATTAATGGGCGGCGGTGGTGGAAGGGGCAAGGGGTAGGTTTGGTTTGTTTTCAATCTCTGTTGGGAAAAAAAATATATAAAAAAATAGTCTCCGATTCAAGCCACCGTGGGTTGCGTTCGTGAGCGCCGTTTGCTATGGGGAGCGGTGAACGTAGCGGTCAGTTCCGCTACGAAACCGGCGACCCGCGTTCGATTCCCACTTTTACGGCCACCAACATCGGCGACGATTATCTGAACCGGTGCGGTGCGTAAAAACATCGCCACCGGGGAGACAAAGGCGGCCGGGCGTGGTGCTGGCCACCCACCCTCTCGTGTGCCCTGCCGGCCTTCCTAGGTGCTGCTATTCGCTAACAGCACTTGCCCCAACAGTCCGTTAAGGCTATACCGGGGAAGGGAGGATATTTGTCTTTGTTTATATATTTTTTTTGTAAAAACACACAAAAAAAAACCTGTTAACAAGCAAAAACAAATAAATGTATTTCAATGATCTCGGCCCCGCCGATTTTTTTTGCCACTTTAGAGGTGGCATTTTGTAACAACGTGAGTTCATTATGTGAGGGGAGGGGGGGTGGGTGTGTGGGGGGGGGGGGGGAATGGGGGGGGGGGGTCGTCGTGGTGGGCGAGGGGATGGGGAGCTCGTTAGACGGCCGCTTGGCGTCAACGCGAGCGACAGCGAAATAAGTCGCGGAGACCTCCCCGTGTTTAGGGGAAACGGCGGCCGTGAGATTTCTGTCACGCGGCACTCATCGGAGGGAGGAGGAGGAGGAGGAGAGGGATGATGAGAGCTCCGTTAGAGAGAGAGAAAGCTCTAACACAATTACGAGATTTTTATTTTTATTTTTGTTGGCGAGGTGAGTAAAACGTTTACGTGTGTCGTCAAAACACTACGCCACCCGACACGGTCAAAGAGTTAAATGAAAATTTCAACTATTGTTTTTTTACTTTAGCAGGTAAGGTCTCGCTGAGCTATAATGTATCTCTTTTTCAGAAGCGACCTGGCTATCGGAAACGATGGCTAGACGAAGTGGGCTCATCGTCATCGTCCTCACGTGGAGATGTATCGCAGACAAATTAGTTCTCCATACGCGTGATGCTGATTGTTCATGTGGAGGCAAAACACTGAGGATCCGAAAAAAAAATCCACGCGACCATGGGGAGAGTGACAGAGAGACACGCAGACTCCAAATATACAGCAGCAGCAGGCGTCAGGGTCGGGATCAAACCCACGACCTCCTGCGCACCAGGCGAGGTAGTTAACATCTCCTAGCCACCGTGATGATGATGAGAGAGAGAGACACGCAGACTCCAAATATACAGCAGCAGGCGTTAGGGTCGGGATCAAACCCATGACCTCCTGTGCACCAGGCGAGGTAGTTAACATCTCCTAGCCACCGTGATGATGATGAGAGAGAGAGAGACACGCACACTCCAAATATACAGCAGCAGGCGTCAGGGTCGGGATCAAACCCACGACCTCCTGCGCACCAGGCGAGGTAGTTCACATCTCCTAGCCACCGTGATGATGATGAGAGAGAGAGAGAGACACGCACACTCCAAATATACAGCAGCAGGCGTCAGGGTCGGGATCGAACCCACGACCTCCTGTGTTCCAGGCGAGGTAGTTAACATCTCCTAGCCACCGTGATGATGATGAGAGAGAGAGACACGCACACTCCAAATATACAGCAGGCGTTAGGGTCGGGATCGAACCCACGACCTCCTGTATCCCGTGCGAGGTAGTTAACATCTCCTAGCCGCCGTGGCGATGACGGTGGTGATGATAATGATGGCAGCTTCAGTTTCAAATATAGCGGGGGTGTTAAAATTAAAAAAGCAAAATTTACCGAGAGAAAGAGAGCATGAGAGAGGGAGAGGGGGAGAGAGGAGGAAAGAGAGTGTGTAGTTGAGATCATTTACGCCCCGCATCCAATTTTAGCAAAAAAAATTACCGTGCCACGCTCAGATATTTGAGCTGGGGAGTGGCGGCGGTGGTGGTGATGATGGCGGTAGCGGCGCGCGCGACAACAAGCTGGGCAAAAGCCAGTAGCATAAATGAGCCTCCCCCTTAAAATGTAAAAAAAAAACAGCTCCGATCGTCGTATTATTTATTAATTGCCTTTTAAAATATTTATTCTTCTTTGTTTACCTACTCGCACTTCGCATTCTGCGACGGTGTCATGGATCGGCAGCGCAAAATCGCGACGCAATTTGGGATAGAAAAAAAAACCGACGTGAAAAGTGGAAGATGTGAATCGGGGGAGCGTTGCTTCTTCACACGAAGAGTGGAAGCGGCGCGCGCGACAACAAGCTGGGCAAAAGCCAGTAGCGTAAATGAGCCTCCACGCGAAAATGTAAAAAAAAAACAACCCTCCTTCCATCACCTTAGTAATTATTGATCAGTTTCATGTATTATTATTATTATTTACGTAACTACTTACCTACACCTCGGAATCTGCGACGATGTATGGATCGGCAGCGCATAGCGGATGTTTTTTTTTAATATGCAGAGGGGTTCCACCGGGGCGGGGGGGGCGGGGGGGGTTACATTCGATCCGATTCGATCTCCGGGGATACGCGCGCGACCATTGAACAACTGGGTTACGGAGTGTTCTAAATTCCTCCTCCCACCCAGAATCAGAATCTTGATGGGGTTTTTTTTTGTTTGACTGGAGGAAATCCGATGAGCCACGAAGCGCTTTCAAACGCATATGGTCCCAGTAAATAGTGGTGTGGGGGGCACGCAGTCACGGCAGCGAAAGAGTGCAAAGTGGAGAAAAATTACGTAATTACTTAACTATATAAGCTCCTCTGGAGAGCGAGCGAGCGAGATCTCACAATTGCGTTCTCTCAAGAGGGCCACTGAATACGACTTAACATCCCAGGGCCCCCCACCCCACCCCGCGCCCCACCGAGAAGCGTACATTGTGAATAGTGAGCCAATAAAGCTCACCGGATAACTATGGCAATCAAGGAGGGGGGGCTTGCGATTAGCAACATCTGCGCATCGGTGAGAGAGACCCATGAACGATCGTGAAGGCGCCTACGTCTCACGCGAAGCGCACACAAAGACAAAGATGCCCCGTGCAGCATGGCACGGAGTGTTTGGGGGGCAAGTGCTCTTCGTAGCGAGCAGCAGCACCTATGAAGGACGGCACTGTGGCACGCAAAGAGGGGGTGGGGTGGCCAACACCACGCCCGGCCGCCTTTGTCTCCCCAGTGGCGACGTTCACACAGCGCAGTAGGTACTCGTTTGAGGCTGAGTCGACCTAGGGGTGGAGGCGCAGGACCGGTTCAGATAATCGTCACCGGTGGTCTTGGCCGTGAGCGGGAATCGAACCCGGGTGGTCGGGTTTGATGCGCAGCGTAGCGCTAGCCGCTATCACTACCGCTCCCCACGCACACACACACACACGCGCCCACACACGCGTACACACACACGCACGTGTACACACACGCGTACACACACGCACGCACACACACACACGCGTACACACACGCACACACACACGCGCCCACACACCCGTGCACACACACACGCGTACACACACACACGTGTACACACACGCGCGCACACTCACACACACGTGTACACACACGCGTACACACACGCGCGCACATACACACACACGCGTACACACGCACATACACACCCGTACACACACACGCGTACACACGCGCACACACCCGCGTACACGCGCGTACACACATACACGCGTACACACACGCACACACACACGCGCCCACACACCCGTGCACACACACACGCGTACACCACACGCGCACACACACAAGCGCCCACACACACGTGCACACACACGCACACACACGTGCACACACACCAGTACACACACGTGCACACACACACGAGCACACACACAGAGTGTGTGGCGGAGGGGAGGGGTAGGGGGGGGGGTTAATAGCTACCCTCGACGTGTGACGGCTCAGTCAGTGACAGGGTGGGTGGTGGGGGGGTGATATAATAGCCTGGGCTGCATTAGTCTGGCAGCTGATAGAGCAAGGCCACAGCCAGGCGCTATGGAAGCACTCAGGGGTCGGGAGTAATTACCGTCACGTCGGGGGAGGGTGGCGGGTGAGAGAGAGTGGGCGAATTGGGAAACATTCCACTCTGGAGCAGAAACGGCAGCATCATCATCAGCAGCAGCAGCATCAACGTCAGCAACATCAGTATCATCAGCAGTTCCATCATCATCAGTATCATCAGCAGTGTCATCATCATTATCATCATCATCAGTATCATCAGTATCAACATCAGTATCATCAGCATCATCAGCATATCCATCATCGGCATCATCATCAGTATCATCATCGGTATCATAATCGGCATCATCATCGGCATCATCATCATCAGCATGATCAGCTTGATTTGCATAATCAGTCTCAACATCAGTATCATCAGTATCAGTATCATCGTCAGTATCATCATCAGCATCATCAGCATATCCATCATCGGCATTATCATCAGTATCATCATCGGTATCATCATTGGCATCATCATCAGTATCATCATCAGCATAATCAGCTTCATTAGCATTATCAGTATCATCATGAGTATCATCATCAGTATCATCATCATCAGTAGCATCAGCAGCATCATCATCGTCATCATCAGCCGCATCATCAGCAGGAGCAGGAGTCGCACACCCCGATAAGAGAACACACGTACAAAGATAAAGACAGAGATCACCCCGGCTAGTCTCCACAGACTGTTGGGGCAAGTGCTGTTAGCGAGTAGCGCCTAAACAACGAAGTGGCTTATCGCGTGGATATTCATAGCAGTAGACACGATGTGGAAGGAAAAACCGGAGGACCCGGAGAAAAATGATGATGATGTCGATTATGATGATGTTGATAATGTTTATGATGATAAACTGCGTTAATATAGCGCGATTACGCGCCGCGATTGATCATAACGATTCGAGTCTACGATGAAAAACAAATATATATTTATTATTATTATAATATTATTTTTGTTAATATATAAGCAACATTGTTGGTGGGTGAAAGCGGCATCGAGTGATTAAGCGAAACTATTTGCTTTATTTTAACCAGGCAAAGGTCCTACTGCGCTGGCTGTGTTGTCGCTCTTTCTTTACAAGCGACCTGGCTGTCACAAACGATTGCTCAACGAGAGTGGGCACTTAAATTTCGATTTAAAGCTTTCGTGACTGCAGGGATTCATATTCTTGGTTCTTTCGGTAAAGTCACGGAGACAGAAAAAAAAAAGATAAAAAAGTGAATAAATATGAAAATAATACAATTAAAATAACAAACACGAATGAGAACCACGACGTTTCGATCGCAACACAAGCGGTCGTCATCAGGAAAAGGAGGCTAGCCTCTAAAGGCAAACTGTTTATAAAGGTTTAAAATGGGCGTAGCCCAAGTGTCAGCAGCATGGGCGGGGCATCTTATGTTAATGTTGTTGACGGCGGAGGGTGCTGCTAGAAGTGATGGTAGTAGTGGGTAATGACGCTCCAGCTAGTGGGCTTTCGCCAATTAAAGGGCTGCCAGGTCTTAAATGGAAACATTACAGACAGTTATGACTTTAACTGGTTGATAACGTCCTTCCAGTGATTGCTGAGTTTGTACCCATCTTCTCAGTTGAAATTGTGTCTGTGTCTGCATTTATCGATGGCTTCATGAACTAATCTTTGTTGATAGCCGGTGGGTTTGCAAAGTACCTTCGTCTTAGAGAAATCAATTTCGCGTGAGCCAGCCGCATTTAAATAATGATCAGCAACGGCAGAAGTATTGGTTCTACCGTGTTTCAAATCTGCCTTATGTTCACGAACACAGTCCGTCACGTGTCGCTTAGTTTCCCCAATGTATCCGCGGCACCCTCCACCATCAACAACATTAACATAAGATGCCCCGCCCATGCTGCTGACACTTGAGCTACGCCCATTTTAAACCTTTATAAACAGTTTGCCTTTAGAGGCTAGCCCCCTTTTCCTGATGACGACCGCTTGTGTTGCGATCGAAACGTCGTAGTTTTTATTTTATTTTCATTATTTTCATTTTGATTCACTTTATTATTATTTTTCCATCTACGTGACTTTACCGAAAGAACCAAAGAATATTAATTCCTGCAGTCGCGAAAGTTTTAAGTCAAAATTATCATCATCATCACCATCAGCATCACGTGGACATTTATAGGAGCAGTCAAATAACTTTAACACGCCGTGATGTGGAGGGGAAAACCCTGCAGGAACTGGAGAAAAATTTACGCGACCACGGGGAGAGAGAGAGAGAGAAGAGATGTAAATTCCAAATATGAAATGGCACTATTATGCATTGTGAGGGTTTAAAAAAATATATTTAAAATTTTCTAGGATTTGTAGAATTTCTGGCGAAAGAATTGCATTGAAACGAGCACAAATCGCAAAGTTTAGAGCAATTTTAGATTAACCGTGCGGTCAGTCTTCCCTCTTCATTACTCCAAACCCCGCAGTGGTTTGCTATGTAGCGTGCGTACGTAGCCAACTTCCTTTGCACCGTACGTAGCCAACCGTGCTAATCGGAGGTGCGGGGGCGGGGCCGTAAGGACAACAAACCAACATTCGCACAAATCCGGTTTTAAACAAATGAGTTTCATCAATCTAGATGATGACTCAAGAGCGCACAGATCCCAGTGACTTCCCAACATCGGAAGGGCAGGAGCGTTCCAGACGGCCGCGGAAGCAGCGCATCCGAAAGCGCCGCGCGATGCAGCGACCGTCTCTCATCATTGTTGTTATTATTCGATGTCTTCCTGACGTCTCCTTCCGCCGTTTCGCGTCAACCCATTGTTTATTTGTTACACGGGGGGGGGGGGGGGGGGGGTGGTGGTGGGGGGGGGAAATCTCGAGTAGCCAGTTACCCGGCTAGTTTCGGTGGCAGCCACTGACAACAGAAGTCACTGTTGGGGTGATGCAGAGGAGAAGCCCAGCCAGCATCCAGCCAGGAAACTCGAGTACGGTGTGAAAGAAGTTCAACATACACACATACATTGTGCATTATTATGTTCTTAATACCGTGATGTGACCGCCCGCCCGCCCGCACGTGCACAGAACGATGTTAACATTTCCGGAGCCCGATTAATTTTTATTTTTTTATTTCTTTTTTAAAAAATGTCATCATCATCATCTTTAATCCGCATGAAAAATCCAATCAAGGAAATGTCACGACAGCAAATGGGGAAAGCGATGCCGTGGATGGGTAAGTCGCCCCCTCCCCCCATCGCCCCCTCCCCCCATCGCCCCCTCCCCCCATCGCCCCGCCCCCTACCCCCATCGCCCCCTCCCCCCTTCCCCCATCGCCCCCCGCCCCCTCCCCCCTTTCCCCCATCGCCCCCCCCCCCAACCCCCCTCGCCCCCTCCCCCCCCCTACTCCCATCGCCCCCGTCCCCATCGCCCGGGCCCCCTCCCCCCCTAACCCCAATCGCCCCCCCACCCACCCCCGCTCCCTTTACCCCGCCCCCTACCCCCTTCCCCCCGCGGGCCCCTCCCCTCCGCACACGATCCCCCAGCACGCACGCGCCGAAGCGCCACAGCGCGTGAATGACGTGCGCATGAAACAACAATGAAATAATGAATGATTAGCGCGGCATTACGCAAGGATCGATATTATTCGTATTGATGGTGGCGGTGGGGAGCCTTAGCGCCAACGAGAAATCTCGCGCACGATGGACACGCTGTTCAAGTTTTACAGACTCGAATGTCATCGCATCGTCTCCTGCTCCTCGCTTGGGCATCCCTCCCTCGCCACTTCCTCTCCCTCCTCCTCCACCTCCTCCACCTCCTCCCCCTCCCTCTTCTCCTCCACCTCCTCCCCCTCCCTCTTCTCCTCCACCTCCACCCCCTCTCCTTCCTCCTCCTCCACCTCCTCCACCCCTCCCTCTCCACCTCCACCCCCTCTCCCTCCTCATCCTCCTCCACCTCCTCCACCCCTCCCTCTCCACCTCCACCCCCTCCCTCTCCTCCTCCACCTCCTCCCTCTCCTCCTCCACCTCCTCCCCCTCCCTCTCCTCCTCCACCTCCTCCTCCACCCCCTCCTTCTCCGCCTCCTCCCCCACCCCCTCCCTCTTCTCCTCCACCTCCACCCCCCTCTCTCTCCTCCTCCTCCACCCCCTCCCCCACCCCCTCCCTCTTCTCCTCCACCTTCACCCCCTCCCTCTCCTCCTCCACATCCTCCTCCACCCCCTCCCTCTCCTCCTCCTCCTCCTCCCTCACCCCCTCCCTCTCCTCCTCCGCCTCCACCCCCTCCCTCTCCTCCTCCACATCTTCCTCCACCCCCTCCCTCTCCTCCTCCTCCCCCACCCCCTCCCTCTCCTCCTCCACCTCCGCCTCCACCCCCTCCCTCTCCTCCTCCACCTCTTCCTCCACCCCCTCCCTCTCCTCCTCCACCTCCGTCTCCACCTCCTCCACCTCCTTAACTTACAGAGCGCTGGGGCAAGAGCTGCTAGCGAGCACCATACAAACGCACAAAGACAAAAATTCCCCCGTAGAGCCTTAACAGATTGTATATATTCTTGGTTCTTTCGGTAAAGTCACGTAAATAGAAAACTAAAAAAATCTAAAAGAATAAAATAAAATAATAAAATAAATACAAATTGAATTAAAATAATCAATTAAAAAATAAAAGTTCTATTATTTTCTATTTATATTTGTATAAATTGTACTTTATTTTTAGTTACATTTTTTATTTTTTTTATTTCTATTTACGTAACTTTACCGAAAGACTTTACCGAAATAACCAAGAACATAAATTCCTGCAGTCACGAAAGTTTTAAGTCAAAACCTTAACAGACTGTTGGGGCAAGTGCTGCTTGCGAGTACCATAAAAACACACAAAGACAAAGGTCCACCGTAGAGCCTTAACAGACTGTAGGGGTAAGTGCTTCTAGCGAGTACCATGCAAACACACAAAGACAAAGATCCCCCGTAGAGCCTTAACAGACTGTAGGGGCAAGTGCTGCTAGCGAGTACCATACAAACACACAAAGACAAAGATCCCCCGTAGAGCCTTAACAGACTGTTGGGGCAAGTGCTGCTAGCGAGTACCATACAAACACACAAAGACAAAGATCCCCCGTAGAGCCTTAACAGACTGTAGGGACAAGTGCTCCTAGCGAGTGCCATACAAACACACAAAGACAAAGATCCCCCGTAGAGCCTTAACAGACTGTTGGGGCAAGTGCTGCTAGCGAGTACCATACAAACACACAAAGACAAAGATCCCCCGTAGATCCTTAACAGACTGTAGGGGCAAGTGCTGCTAGCAAGTACCATACAAACACACAAAGACAAAGATCCCCCGTAGAGCCTTAACAGACTGTTGGAGCAAGTGCTGCTAGCGAGTACCATACAAACACACAAAGACAAAGATCCCCCGTAGATCCTTAACAGACTGTTGGGGCAAGTGCTTCTAGCGAGTACCATACAAACACACAAAGACAAAGATCCCCCGTAGATCCTTAACAGACTGTAGGGGCAAGTGCTCCTAGCGAGTACCATACTAACACACAAAGACAAAGATCCCCCGTAGATCCTTAACAGACTTTTGGGGCAAGTGCTGTTAGCGAGTGACACCTACGAAGGCCGGCAGGGCACACGAGGGGGTGGGTGGTCAGCAGCCACGCCCGGCCGCCTTTGTCTTCCTCGTTGCGATCTTTTTGTCAACACCGCACCAGGTTTACTCATTTGAGGCTGAGTCGACCTAGGGGGAAGAGGCCCAGAACCGGTTCAGATAATCGTCACTGGGTGTTGGCCGTGAGCGGGAATCGAACTCGGGTGGCCGGGTTCGTAGCGCAGCGTAGCGCTAACCGCTGCACCACCGCTCTCCATGTGGCTGATCCCGATGGTGGTGGTGGTTGAGTGCAACGGTGGGGTTCACAGAATGCGTTATAAGCAGGGCCTTCATCCAGCAGTGGATCGACCATGGCTGATCCAGATGATGATGATGATGATGTTGTTCCTGCTGTTGTTCCTGCTGCTATTGTTGCTGCTGTTGCTGTTGTGGCTGCTGCTGTTGCTGCTGTTGCTGCTGCTGTTGCTGCTACTGCTGCTGTTGTTGCTGTTGTTGTTGCTGCTGCCGCTGTTGATGCTGCTGTTACTGCTGCTACTGCTGTTGTTGTTGCTACTACTGCTACTGCTGTTGCTGCTGTTGTTCCTGCTGCTGTTGTTGCTGCTGTTGCTGTTGTTGCTGCTGCTGTTGCTGCTGTTGCTGCTGCTGTTGCTGCTACTGCTGCTGTTGTTGCTGTTGTTGTTGCTGCTGCCGCTGTTGATGCTGCTGTTACTGCTGCTACTGCTGTTGTTGTTGCTACTACTGCTGTTGCTGCTGTTGTTCCTGCTGCTGTTGTTGCTGCTGTTGCTGTTGTTGCTGCTGCTGTTGCTGCTGTTGCTGTTGCTGCTACTGCTGTTGCTGTTGCTGCTGCCACTGTTGATGCTGCTGTTACTGCTGCTACTGCTGTTGTTGTTGCTACTACTGCTGTTGCTGCTGTTGTTCCTGCTGCTGTTGTTGCTGCTGTTGCTGTTGCTGCTGCTGCTGTTGCTGCTGTTGCTGTTGCTGCTACTGCTGCTGTTGTTGCTGTTGCTGCTGCCACTGTTGATGCTGCTGTTACTGCTGCTACTGCTGTTGTTGTTGCTACTACTGCTGTTGCTGCTGTTGTTCCTGCTGCTGTTGTTGCTGCTGTTGCTGTTGTTGCTGCTGCTGTTGCTGCTGTTGCTGTTGCTGCTACTGCTGCTGCTGTTGCTGCTGCCACTGTTGATGCTGCTGTTACTGCTGCTACTGCTGTTGTTGTTGCTACTACTGCTACTGCTGTTGCTGCTGTTGTTCCTGCTGCTGTTGTTGCTGCTGTTGCTGTTGTTGCTGCTGCTGTTGCTGCTGTTGCTGTTGCTCCTACTGCTGCAGTTGTTGCTGTTGCTGCTGCCGCTGTTGATGCTGCTGTTACTGCTGCTACTGCTGTTGTTGTTGCTACTACTGCTGTTGCTGCTGTTGTTCCTGCTGCTGTTGTTGCTGCTGTTGCTGTTGTTGCTGCTGCTGTTGCTGCTGTTGCTGTTGCTGCTACTGCTGTTGCTGTTGCTGCTGCCACTGTTGATGCTGCTGTTACTGCTGCTACTGCTGTTGTTGTTGCTACTACTGCTGTTGCTGCTGTTGTTCCTGCTGCTGTTGTTGCTGCTGTTGCTGTTGCTGCTGCTGCTGTTGCTGCTGTTGCTGTTGCTGCTACTGCTGCTGTTGTTGCTGTTGCTGCTGCCACTGTTGATGCTGCTGTTACTGCTGCTACTGCTGTTGTTGTTGCTACTACTGCTGTTGCTGCTGTTGTTCCTGCTGCTGTTGTTGCTGCTGTTGCTGTTGTTGCTGCTGCTGTTGCTGCTGTTGCTGTTGCTGCTACTGCTGCTGCTGTTGCTGCTGCCACTGTTGATGCTGCTGTTACTGCTGCTACTGCTGTTGTTGTTGCTACTACTGCTACTGCTGTTGCTGCTGTTGTTCCTGCTGCTGTTGTTGCTGCTGTTGCTGTTGTTGCTGCTGCTGTTGCTGCTGTTGCTGTTGCTCCTACTGCTGCAGTTGTTGCTGTTGCTGCTGCCACTGTTGATGCTGCTGTTACTGCTGCTACTGCTGTTGTTGTTGCTACTACTGCTGTTGCTGCTGTTGCTACTTCTCCTGCTGTTGCTGCTCGCCGCGAGTTGACGTCGCTCGCGCACCGCTCGACGCGGCCATCGATCGCCTCATTGCCACCCTCCTCGCCCTGTGGGTGACGAGGGTGGCAAGACCCCCACCCATCCTCGTGGTGGTGTAGGGGGGCACAACTCGGGTATCTGCAAACAGCCATTGGGGGGGGGGGGGGTAGTGGGAGAGACACTGAAGAAACCGCCCCCCACTCCCCACCACCACGATGGTCTTAAGAGACCGAGTGGGTCAGTGGCTGGGTGGGTAGACCGCTTGTGTTGCGATCGAAACGTCGTGGGTGTTTTTTAGCTTTTATTATTTTCAATTTATTATTATTAATTTAAAATTGCATTACTATTATTATTATTTTTCTAATTGAATTTTTTTCTCGTATTACTTTAAATGTATTATTTGAAGAAAAAAAAAAGATTATTTTATTATTTGTATGTTTACATTTTTCTTTTATTATTTTTTTATTTTCTACCGACGTGACTTTACCCCCTTACCAAGTCACCAGTGTCGGGTGGTGGCGGGTTTAACGTCACACATTTTATATATTTGAGCGATCTAACACCTCCAACCCCCCCCCCCCGACAAAAACTGTATTATCGATGGCATTGGTTGCTTAAGCCTACTTACGTGTTCAACTGTTAAACTGGGTAAAATTAGTGAGTGAAGGAGTGATTGAGTTGGTAGGTCTGTGGGGCGAGTGAGTGAACGAATGAGTTTGTGAGCGAGTTGACGAATAAGTGAGCGAAGGAGTGATTGAGTTGGTAGGTCTGTGGGGCGAGTGAGTGAACGAATGAGTTTGTGAGCGAGTTGACAAATGAGCGAGCGAAGGAGTGATTGAGTTGGTAGGTCTGTGGGGCGAGTGAGTTAATGAATGAGTTTGTGAGTGAGTTGACGAATGACTGAGTGAAGGAGTGATTGAGTGGGTAGGTCTGTGGGGCGAGTGAGTGAACGAATGAGCTTGTGAGCGAGTTGACGAATGAGTGAGCGAAGGAGTGATTGAGTTGGTAGGTCTGTGGGGCGAGTGAGTGAACGAATGAGTTTGTGAGCGAGTTGAGGAATGACTGAGTGAAGGAGTGAGTTGGTAGGTCTGTGGGGCGAGTGAGTGAACGAATGAGTTTGTGAGCGAGTTGACGAATGAGTGAGCGAAGGAGTGATTGAGTTGGTAGGTCTGTGGGGCGAGTGAGTGAACGAATGAGTTTGTGAGCGAGTTGACGAATGAGCGAGCGAAGGAGTGATTTAGTTGGTAGGTCTGTGGGGCGAGTGAGTGAACGAATGAGTTTGTGAGCGAGTTGACGAATGAGTGAGCGAAGGAGTGATTGAGTTGGTAAGTCTGTGGGGCGAGTGAGTGAACGAATGAGTTTGTGAGCGAGTTGACGAATGAGTGAGCGAAGGAGTGATTGAGTTGGTAAGTCTGTGGGGCGAGTGAGTGAACGAATGAGTTTGTGAGCGAGTTGACGAATGAGTGAGCGAAGGAGTGATTGAGTTGGTAGGTCTGTGGGGCGAGTGAGTTAATGAATGAGTTTGTGAGTGAGTTGACGAATGAGTGAGCGAAGGAGTGATTGCGTTGGTAGGTCTGTGGGGCGAGTGAGTGAACGAATGAGTTTGTGAGCGAGTTGACGAATGAGTGAGTGAAGGAGTGACTGAGCGAGTGAGTGAGTGAGTGAGCGCCTTTTGTATTCCTATCGGCGGCGCACAAAGACAAAGATCCCCCGCCCCCCCCCCGTGTAGCCTCTAACAAACTGTTGGGGCAAGTGCTGTCAGTGAGTGGCAAGCAGCACCTGTGAAGGCCGGCGCTGTGGCACACGACGGGTGTACTCTGACGTTGCAGGATCGTGAGAGGATTGCAAAGGGGGGGGGGGGGGGGCCTTCATCCAGCAGTGGATTGACCATGGCAGGCTGATGAATTGAGGACAACCAAAAGGTTGTGTAAGTGTCCCCAGACGTCACCGTTGGGAGCTCTCTCGCTTCTCAAAAAAAAAAAAAAATCATCATCGTCGGCTATCCAGGATGCCCAGCGGCTATAAATTCTTGTACTCGGTTCATTTCAGTTGAATGCTTTCTGTTGTTGCTGTTGTTGTTGCTGCTGTTGTTGCTGCTGTTGCGTTTATTGGCAGCGGAATGGCATCGCAAAGTCGAGAGACGCATCCGACGCTAAAATCACGGGCCCTCGCGGGAATGCAATTTCGTGCGCAATTGTAAAGTTTATATTCTATGGTTCTTTCGGTAAATATATCTATCACGTAGATGGAACATAAAATAAAAAAAATGAATAAAAAAATAAAAATATTTAAAATATCTAAAAAATCAAAAACTCACCACGTTTCGATCGCAACACATTTATTTTATTTAACATTTTCCATCCACGTGACTTGACCGAAAGAGCCATAGAATATGAATTCCTGCAGTCAGGAAAGTTTTAGGTGAAAAAATTATGAAGTTTGTCCCGCGGTCGGGGGAGTGTGGCCGGGGTAACGGAGGGAATTTGTTGTTACAGCTCTCTCGCTGGTTCAGCAGTTCCACTGAAGACGACCGCTTGTGCTGTGATCGAAACGTCGTGATTTATTTTATGCTAATTCCTTTGTCAAGGCGTTTTTTGTTTCTTCCCACACAGCTTAAAAGGACGCGACCTGGGCTTGGCTGTCTTCACTCCAACGCTGTCCTCTGGACAGTCCGGTCACCTTCACCTGATGAAGGCCACTTGTGTTGTGGCCGCAACGTCGTGATTTTTTGTTCATTTTATTTTTACCTACGTGACTTTACCGAATAGAACCAAAGAGTACCTAAGGTGGACTTTACCGAAAGAACCAAAGAGTATGAATGTTATTAAGTTCGCAATGAAATAGAGACCGGCCGACAGACGCGGAGGGTTATGGGCTGAGTCTTTAATTGCCTCCTAAGGGACTCGTTTTTTTGACAGGACACGCGGTCCCCCGACTTACGAACGCCCGCACTGACGAAACGAGCTTCCGTAAGATGTTTCGTTTTAAATTGTTTTTTTTAAACCAATTCCAACTCGCGAACCCGCGAACCGAACTATCTGGTTCGGCAAATGTGCAAATGGAATGGGGGTCCCGAATAAACGGAAGTCAAAATCGTAATTCATTTATTATTTGGCGACTCCGTCCCACTGAGCACATCAACACCGCGACCCACCGGGAATCACTCCGCTCGTTCTTCACCGAGCACACGCCGTTGCAAAAATTGTCGCAGCCACGAACAAAACTTTTAACCATTCATTAGCGCATCGTGTAGAGGTCGCCGATAGGAATAGATCGCCGTGTAGTTCGCCTTCAACAGACGTAAAATGACGTCGCAACGCAGTTTATGCGAGAGCCGAGGAGGGGGGGGGGGGCTTATGGGACCCCGGGGTCCCACCAAAAGGTTCAAATGTACAATCTTCTTATAATAATAATAATAGTAGGTTTTTCCTCCTTTTTTATGGCAACAAAACTGAACCCTTTTTACGAGGAATCATGTTGCTGCATTAACCACAATACCTGCGGTCAAAATGCAAACAAAAAAAGACACTCTGAAAATATGATGCATTGTCCTTGAAACTGATTGGTCCACGCCAGAGACGGCTTTTCTTTTTAGCCTCGTCTCAAAACGGTGCTCGACCAGAGGACGCCAAAATCGTCCTCTTCGCGAGTTCAACTGATGCTTCCCCCTTTTTCTTTTTGTCGAACCGTGCCGCGCGTTACAACACTGACCGTATGCGCGCATTTCAATGCGGGGCGTTGTTGTTGCTGTTCCGACTTACGAACCCCGTTCGACTTACGCCAACGGGGTCTCAGGCACGGAACCACGTTCGTAAGTTTGGGGAATTCTTCGTACGGGGCGGTCCTCGGATCTGAGTCAGGTTACGTTCCTAGGAAAGGTGGCGTATGTCGGGACGATGTAAGTCCGGACCGATGCTTTTCCCCGGATAAACAAAGATCCAATAGGGGGGTTACGTTCCTGACCAAGGATCCGATATGCGACGTTTTTTTTTTGTTCATCGACGCAAATAGCATATTGAATCAACTACCGATCACATGTAGAGTACAATGATAGTGTCGTGAAAGTTCTTACCTCGACTCCTTCCTAATGCCACGTCCGTTGTACACTATGTAACACGATTTTTGCTGCAGGGATAGTAAGTGTTGTTTTCTAATTGCCTATGCCTCAAAAGTATAGAAAACGGCTATTATTCTCCACAGACTTTGCTTTTGTGACCAGGACTTTAAGTGAAGGAATGACACACGACGTTTTCTCACTGACAATAGCTACATTTCTAAATATCAATGTCCTGGTCACAAAAGCAAAGTTTCTGGGGAACAATATCCATTTTCTGTACTTTTCAGGCATGAGCAATTAGGAAATAATACTTACTACCCAGGAACAAAAATATATATTTTTTTAATTAACTGTGTAACAAAAAAATATATATTTTTTATATTTTTTTTTTTGTTACACAGTGAATTATCAACACCATCGTCGGAGGAGCGCTGACCTTTCCTTTCATCAGCCATTTGTTTCAAAGGATGAAACTCATCAAAAATGCATCATCGAGTCGGCGTTACTCGCACGTCGCGCGTCTGCTAAAGTAGTCAAACATTATTTAATAATAATAACAATGATGGTGTGTGCGATGTTCTAGCTTGTGGGTTTACCCTCCCAACACACACACACACACACCGGTGTGCTGAACGTGCAACTAATTGGGGCGCGTTTTGTTTGCGCGACGTAACCCCCCCTTAACTGATTGGCTGTGTCGTGTGGTGGAGGGTTAACGACACGCTTATTATATTCAGGTGATCGAACCCAAAAAGAAAAACCTTTACCGTGATTTGGCAGCGGTTAGCGCGGTGCCGCGTTACGAACCAAACCGTGAATCCTAGGTTCGAATCCCGCTCAC